TTTATATTTTTAAATTATTTTTATTATATCAATAAGCCAATATAGACTTTCTGTTGTCCTACATCTTGTAAACCTATTTTTATTTTGATGATATCAGGCTCTTGTTTAACCTGAGGATTAAGCATTGAATATAAAAGGTATGAATATTTAAAAGTAAAATGAAATGTGAACAAAATTGTTTCATTATTTATGGTTTCTATTTGCAATTTTTTTTTATCTTGAGTATGAATTTCAAATTTTTGTGAATATATTGCATGATAATAAACCTAATTAGGAGTTACTATCACTAGTTTGTGTAATGTCTCTCATAATATAAACTATCACATACTTATGATAAATATAATTATATTTCACTTATATAGTTACTTGTTTAAGGTTAAACATGAGCTTTTAAAGAGTGGCTTTATACTTTAAATGAAAATCTTTAGAATTCTCTGTGAATTTGAAATAACATGGCCTTTGGATACCAAATAAAATTTCTAATTGCATTTGCAAAATTCTGTACTATTCTCCTTGATTTGTTGTTGTTGTTTGTTTTTAGCGTCCTGTTTTTTTTTTTAACTGTAAGGAAATGTTTGGGATCTGCTCCACATTTTAGTTTTTATAAATACAAGCTAATGATATCTTATCAAGTCTTATCTTATCTATAAATTTTGTTTCTGCTCTGATTCATCTCTTGGTAACAACTAGTAATACATATTTAAATTGTATGTTGTCTTCATTTTAATGCTTTCATGACAAAATCTGCTCATTCTTATCAAAACTGAACTGTCCCAGATGTTAGAGAATTATAATTGGATAGATGTCAACCTAAGAACAGATTCAACTTTCAAAGACCTAAGATATTTCTCTAATATTAAATGTTCAAATTATTCCCACAATGAAAAGTTTAAGAATCTTCCCGATTAAGGATAGATACAGATCTTATGCTTCTCATACTTAATATAGTGTCTTCTATCTGTACATCTGTATCCTTTTAGTGCCTAGTGGGTATCGGAAGGATCCCTGAAAGACAGTGATACAGTCTATTTATAAACAGACTTCCTCAACTCCCCACTTGACTTAGCCTGCAACAAAACAAGCTTTCTAGGTTTGGTATAAAGGCTTAGTTGTTTTAATTTGACCAAATACATTTTAGTGGCGCTTGTTCTAGATCATATTATCTAGATGGCTCTTTCCCACCATTTTAAAACACTTTATTTTTATGCAGAAATATATATTCTATTTAACTTTTTGAAAGTCAGGAAAATTACTCTACCTTCAAAAGAAAAACTGTCAATATTTGCTTGACCATCCTTTAAGAAGTCCTTTGGTGGCTAATGATTTTGAATATTTCATTGATATCCTACTATGGCAAATGAATAGCTCTTTATAACAATCATTTTATTGTACCCATTCTTGTAGTAAAGATATATTTCTTCTTAAAATTGGTTGAGGAATTTTGATGTTACTTTCAAAATTGAATTAAAAATGCAAAAAGAAGGAAATAATTTTTGCCTTTTTTTTACTTTGAAAGTCATAAATATTAAAAATTTAGAATATTTTCCAAAATTTCCAGTAGATTTTGATATTCTAGAGCTTTTTATAAACTTGGAACATCAGAGTATTCATTGTCTTTCAGGTTTTCCACCTTCCCACTCCCATCGTTTGTTTTCTTTTTCAATTCCACACAAAAACTTCTGCCTTTCTTTCAAATATTAAGAGAATAAGTTTAATCGATCTAAATTTGGATACTCAGTTATACTCAATATGAAAATTTGGCCCATTCTTTATGATAAACATCTTATGTATTCTCAGTTTGAATTGTTTATGTAATATGCCAGTAGACAATTTGCACCAGAATTTATAGGAGGAAAAACAATGAAGTTTTGCTGAATATTTTAATTATTAATAAAGATTGAGATATAGACTAATAACGTTTTCTTAGTCTCCTTTATTTATTTCTCTTTTGATCGTTTAATCATGTGATAACTTATAATAAAAATGTAAACATCTCTTAACAGTAAAACAGCAGAGCAGCGTATTAAAGAATACCAGACTAGGAAAAGGACAAAATAATAATTAGTTAAATAAAGTGCTGTAGCTAAACACAAAAATATTAACCTACACTAATAAGTATGTGAGCATATGCATATTTTCGTTTTAAAATCTAGATTTAATAATATGGTATATAACATTCTCCAACAGGTAGCATAACAGCGCGTTAGGATTATACTGCCATTCTTGCAATGAAAGCATGCTTACAATGATTTTTTGAATGTTATTAGTTGCATTTTTACAAGTTGATGACTCACAGATATCATTGCTGAAAAGGCTACTTTATTATTCATATAAATCATTACATATAACATTAAAATTCACTCAGCACAAAATATAATTAAAAACATATAAGAAATACTTATGTAAATCAAAGTGACATGTGAATGATATTATAATCTTTTAGCTGTTGTGGTAGCTATTATTTAACATATGCAATGGAAATTATTACATTTATTAATTACATAAGGAAACAAAATATTCGGTAGTAATTATACTTGCTGTGCAATAAAATTAATAAACTGTAGAACAAAAGTTTGAAAATTATCTCAGACCAAAAATCATTAGCATTTGGTGTTTGGCTTAAAAAGACGAAATAATATTTATATAAAACCAAAGGGGAAAAAAGAGGATCTTAACCTAAGCCTCAGAAGAAGACTGACTGAGCTGGGCCAAAGGTCGGAACGACTACAACCAGAGAGCCTGCAATTGATCTGTTGAAGTGAAGTTTAGAGTCTGCCAGCTTTGTGTCGTAATTCCTTTTTCCTCTCCAAAGCGGATTTTAAAAAAGAAAAAAAAAAGTCATCATAAGACTTTTTTCTCCAAATGTCCACCTCCGTTTATTTAAAGAAAGGGTTTAGAAATCATCAGAAGGAAAAAAAAAGACTACGGGAGCAGCGCCTCTAAAATTCCTAAACTTTCAAAAATATAAAGTTTCATTAGTGATTGTCAAGTCCACAGGAAGCTTTATATTATTACATTTTATTTATTTATGATTATTTATAATATAAGAAATTGCATTTATGATTGTAATAATCTCTGAATCTCATAATAGTAAAGAAATTGTGTTAAAATATTATATACTTCAATAATATATTTTATTGTTCTTAGCAAAAATTCAATTGTATCGAAATCGAGAACATGAAAAAACATCTTGTGGTTTGATTTTTTAAAACTTTATTATTATAACAATCATCATATATAGATATATTTGTATATTTGTCCATATACATATAGACATTGATAGAATTAGGTAGACAAGTATAGATATGGATATAGACATAAGTATAGACAGAGTCAGAGACAGAGAGAGAGGGAGAGATACCCATAAGTACTGGACACTAAACAAAATACTGTACACAATGGATTGGTTTATTCAAATATTTTGGGGGGATCAAAAAATACTTGTTGATCACCAGCTATTGTATGAGCAGCAGTGAAGAGGCTGATTTAAAATGTGAGTTCCTAAAGCTGAGACAGTTATCAAGATAGTGCCTTATTCTCTGCCTTCGAAGACAATCTAAATAAAAAAAAAATACAAATTCTCAAAGCTCACAGGATTAACTTCTTGTACATATAGGCTGGATTGACAATTACGATATAAAAAAATAAAGAAAAGATTCTGTACATTTATGGACCTTTGTTGTTGATATGTGGATGTGAATGAGTGTTTGTATTTGTTTGAATCAGGTTTCCTTTCAGTTATATCATGATGTTCTTTTAAACGGTATTTGCATTACATTTTTCTCTCTCTCTTTGCCACATGGAGTTTCAGTATCTGATTTTTTAATTTTATTTATTTTAAAGAAACTCAGGTGTGCATTATGATTTTTTAATAAAACTTTGATCTCCCAATCTCTTCATGTCATCAAACAGATATCATTTAATAAAATGCCAGATAGTTATGATTGTAGGTCTCAAAAATTACCTTTGCTTCCTCCACTTTTCCAAGTAATTTCTCAGCTTTACTCCTATTTCATTCATTTTGTCCGCTATCAGAATACAAGTAAATCTGACCATGATAACACATTTAACCTCACTAGTTGCATATGCTTTAATCAATTAACTAATTAACAGATGTGCATCGAGTAATTCTTGGGTGTAAAATTCCTTTGAAGTCAGCATCTTCTCTGACACATTGTATTACTGCCTGCCGGTTCTCCCCATTTACTTGTAATTCAGGTCAAGAAGCCCTTCTTGGTTATTCAATTTCAGGGAAATTCTCTAGTATATATCTGTAGCCCTCCCTTTCCAATTTTTCCCATAGGTCTTTATAACAGTAGCAGATTTATTAGTTTTCACAATCTGTATGATAAATGGCAACTACTGTGTTTTTGTTACTTAACATTCTATAGATATATTGTCCAAATTCTTTTCTGACCATAGACTGTATAGATTTTATCGAGGAAGAAACTACTAGGCAAAAAGGATCACAGAAGGACATGGAGACAGAAAAAGATGATAATAAAAGTCTAAGGATCCTTAAAAGTTCTTAAGAACCATTCACCCATGAATAGAAGTGTACATATTTCAGAGAATACATGAGCTTGTATTTCCTCCTCTAACCAACGTAGAAATTATATTTTGTCAACGTAAGTGGACAACCGCTTAATACCACTTTCTGTGGGGCTGTGTGTGCTAGAGAAGTATATATATTTATATACACCCCGCGGATAAACTTTCTCTTTAAAATACTAAATCTTCCTTACAAGCATTTGATAATGAATCTCTCCAAAGTGAAATAATTTATACTTTTCCATGTCACTTATTTATTTTCTACATTGAAAACTGAAATATCTCCAACCATTTTTTATGTTTTTATTCATAAGTGTTTATAGTGGTAGCAGATTTATTAGTTTTCATTATTTGTAGGATTAATAAGAACTATGATATTTTAGTCAAGTATAACGTTAGAAACATGAGGCTGTTAAAACTTCCTCCTCACCTCTCTTTCAGAAATCAGTATGCAGAGCTGGGGTACAATCATATGCATTCGAATTCTCTTGCGATTTCTTCTGCTCTGGGTGCTTATCGGGAACTCACACACTGAAGAAGACATCATAATTACAACCAAGAACGGAAAAGTCAGAGGGATGAACTTGCCAGTTCTTGGTGGCACAGTAACAGCCTTTCTTGGGATTCCCTATGCACAGCCGCCTCTTGGTAGACTTCGATTCAAAAAGCCACAATCCTTGACTAAGTGGTCCAATATTTGGAATGCCACAAAATATGCCAATTCTTGCTATCAGAACACAGATCAAAGTTTCCCAGGCTTCCTTGGATCAGAGATGTGGAACCCAAACACTGAACTTAGTGAAGACTGTTTATATCTGAATGTGTGGATTCCAGCACCTAAACCAAAAAATGCTACTGTAATGATATGGATCTATGGTGGTGGTTTTCAAACTGGGACATCATCTTTGCCTGTTTATGATGGCAAGTTTCTGGCTCGGGTTGAAAGAGTTATTGTAGTTTCAATGAACTATAGAGTGGGTGCCCTAGGATTCTTAGCCTTATCAGAAAATCCTGAGGCACCAGGGAACATGGGCTTATTTGATCAACAGTTGGCACTTCAGTGGGTCCAAAAAAATATAGCAGCCTTTGGTGGTAATCCTAGAAGTGTAACTCTCTTTGGAGAAAGTGCAGGAGCAGCTTCAGTTAGCCTTCATTTACTTTCTCCTAGAAGCCAGCCTTTGTTTACCAGAGCCATTCTGCAAAGTGGATCCTCTAATGCCCCTTGGGCAGTAACATCTCTGTATGAAGCTAGGAACAGAACATTGACCCTAGCTAAACGTATGGGTTGCTCTAGGGACAATGAGACTGAGATGATCAAATGTCTTCGAGACAAAGATCCCCAGGAAATTCTTCTGAATGAAGTATTTGTTGTCCCCTATGATACTCTCTTGTCAGTAAACTTTGGTCCAACTGTGGATGGCGATTTTCTCACTGACATGCCAGATACACTACTCCAACTTGGACAGTTCAAAAGAACCCAGATCTTGGTGGGTGTTAATAAAGATGAAGGGACAGCATTTTTAGTATATGGGGCTCCTGGTTTCAGCAAAGATAACAACAGTATCATAACAAGAAAAGAATTTCAGGAGGGTTTAAAAATATTTTTTCCAAGAGTGAGTGAGTTTGGAAGAGAATCAATCCTTTTCCATTACATGGACTGGTTAGATGATCAGAGAGCCGAAAACTACAGAGAGGCCTTGGATGATGTTGTTGGGGATTACAATATCATATGCCCTGCCTTGGAGTTCACCAAAAAGTTCTCAGAATTGGGAAATGATGCCTTTTTCTACTATTTTGAACACCGATCGACCAAACTTCCTTGGCCAGAATGGATGGGAGTGATGCATGGTTACGAAATCGAATTTGTCTTTGGTTTACCTCTGGAAAGAAGAGTTAATTACACAAAAGCTGAGGAAATTTTGAGTAGATCCATTATGAAACGCTGGGCAAATTTTGCAAAATATGGGTAAGTGCCAATTTTTGTAATTGTTCTTTTTGGTCTTGCTTGTTTTGTTTTGTTTTGCTTAGCTTTGCTTAGTCTCTGGTGTAGCCTTCATTAAAGGCACAGAAATGTTTTAGTTATTTATTCTCTTTGTACCTTAAGCTAGTTTTATTTTTTTAATATGTAGTGAATATCGATTCCTTGCATCAGAGTGCTTAAAACAAATCATCAAAGAACTTTTTTGAAAAATATTTTATGATTTAATTTCCAAAATTCTGCAGAGTACTTTAACAAAGTTAGCCAAAGTTTGTATGGAAATGGATGTTTACCTTGAGAACTAAAATTACCGTGACCATGTTTTTTAACCTGAAAATTTTAGGAAAGAGTAGGAATATGTCTTCTCATGCTCTTAAACGGTGGTACAGTGGTACCTGATACATGAAGAAACACATTCTTGCTCAGGAAAATCAAAGGGCAAAATGGTGATGGGGTTACCCAAAATACAGAGGCTGCCAATTTGTCCATTTTTTTTCCCTGCTAGGTTTGTTCAGATCTTTGAGGTAACTTGTGTAGGACCCGAGTTACAAGGGTCCTTATGTTTAGCTAAGCTGTTCCCTACGTGAGCAGTTAGATGGATGACGTCATATAATCAGAGACATTACAAAAGAGCATATTTTCCCTCATGTGTTATAAATATTGTGATACCATGGCCTCAATAGTCAGAAGAAAATAATCTGTTACAATATGTTTTCATATTCGTATATTTGTATGTGTATAGAAAAATGGTTTTGGACCAGCCCAGTGGCACAGCGGTTAAGTGCTCACGTTCCGCTTTGGCAGCCTGGGGTTCTCAGTTCGGATCCTAGGTGTGGACATGGCACTGCTTGGCAAGCCACACAGTGGTAGGCGTCCCACATATAAAGTAGAGGAAGATGGACACGGATGTTAGGTCAGGGCCAGTCTTCCTCAGCAAAAAGAGGAGGATTGGCAGCAGTTAGTTCAGGGCTAAATTTCCTCAAAAAGAAAAAAGATTTTTTTTTTCTATACATTGGAATAATTTATATCAATGAGAACACTTAAAAAGCAGAAATTTGGGCATCTACTTTCAAAAGGAGTGCTTACAGAAACTCACAAATTGATTGCCGCTTTACTCAATCTTTCATACTGTCTTTTATAATTGAAAAGAATGTTGAGAGTGATGCTGTTACTCTTTGGTCTTCTTTTCCATCCCCCATTTGGAATTCATTGCATTCCATGTTACTGTATGTATCGTTCTACAAAGTACTTGTATGAAAGAATTCTTCTCAAAATTTTTTAATACTTATCCATTGTGTATAAAGCTAAAATTCTTCTATCTGGCATTAAGAGGCCTCTATAATCTTCCTGCAACCCATATTGCCCAAGAACACCTGGCTGCTTGGTAGGCCAGTTATCTCTTGAATGCCAAAGATTTCAAGCTTAGCTGCACCTTACAGGCTTGTTCTTGCTATGTGCCCTGTTGAGGACATTTACCTCTCTCCTTTGTTTTTGGTGAGGAAGATTGGTCCTGAGCTTACATCTGTTGTCAATCTTCCTCTATTTTGTATGTGGGATGCCATCACAGCACGGCCCAATGAGCAGTATGTAGGTCTGCACCCAGGATCCGAACCCACAAACCATGGGCCACTGAAGCAGAATGTGCCCTTAACCACTATGCCACCGGGCCGGCCCCACCTCTCTCCTTTTTAAAGAGACAAATCCCAATATTTTTTAAAGGTCCTCACCAACTAAATGTTTCATACAGCATATCTTTCATTCCTAGAGTTGTAATTGCTTCAGACCTCCTTTTCACTCTCTCAGAAGTTATTGATTGAGTTTTCTATCTGCTATCTTTCATTGTATGCCAAGCCTCCTAAACTAGACTAAACTAGCTTCTTGAAGGAGAAACTATCATTTTATTGGATACTCATTAAGGTACTACTGACATTGGTATATATCATACTTAACAAATATTTGATTAATGATTGAATGAGAACAAGTAAAAGCTAATATGAATAAAAAATATAATTGATTCAAGATCCATGGGCTATTATATTATCTGCCACTGTGCATTATCTTCTACCGTCTGAGCATCAGCCTAAATTTCTACTTAAGAAGGATCATCTTATTTCAGAGCTGCACTAAAATTGCTTATGTCTCATTCTGTTCTCTCTCCAAAGGCTATAGCCATAATAAATCATTTGAATATGTTTTTAATTCTTTCTTACAATTCTAGAGATTGTAAATAACTTAACGGGAAATATTTCCTAAAGTTACTGATGCCTGTTATTTTTAAAGGACTTCGTATTTTGCATATTGAAATCATCAAGGAATTTACATTTTCTCATGTCCCCATAGAGAACATTGAGAATCAGATGTGGTAAATATCTTGTTTATGATAGACAGACGGCAACAGATCAAAGAAGAAAGTCTTTGACACTTGATAGAATACTTTGTTTAATCTTAATCTGTTTCTATGATTAACATATGTTAATGGGAAATAAATGAAGGTTGACACATTTTAATTATACTGATAAATTCATATAAACAAGATTATAAACCATAAAGATTAAAGTACACTTTTTAAAGTAATTTAGTTGTAACAAGATGTCATGGCTAGTCATTTTAGCTGATAAGCTTCTTTACAGTCCATATTGGTATAGCTGAACAGAGAAATAATAATACATCATATGCGTTGAGAGTTGACTTGATGGCAAACCTAGTGTTAATCTCCTGGTGTCCATTGTCTTTTTTCAAAGTTTTTATTTTTATTTATTTATATATTTAAATTTACATATTTATTTATATTTACCTATAAATAAATATAGACACTTAGAATGGGCTAGTCAACTCCAATAGAAGGGATGTTGGTGTTAGATTTGGAATTCACCCACATTCGTTTGACCACAGACGTGATGTTCTAACTCTGTGGTTCTCGATCCAGGAAATCCTCCCTCTTCCCCCCAACCTGGGACATTGAATAATGTCGGGAGCTGTTCTTGAATGTCACACTAGAATGGGCACGCTACTAGCACAGTAGAGGCCAGGGATGCTGCTAAACATCCTACAATCCACAGGACAGCCCCCACAACACAGAAGTCTTCATTCCAAATGTCAATGATGCCAAGACTGATAAACGGCAGGTTTCTACTTCCACATAACCCAAAATGACACATTAAAACAGTAAAAAATGTAGAACCAGGAGTCATAATTATCCTTCAGAAAAATGTTTCCAAGTTTATGGTTCATAAAATGTTTTAATAAATTCTTCTCCTTCTTAAATAATAAATTTAGTGTATGTTGTATTTTTTGTTATGATTAAGTTCAAAATAATTTTGAATTTTTCTTGGTGATTTTTAATTTTGTCAATAGGTTGTTTAATAGTCTATAATTTAACTTCCAGATATTTGGATCCTTTCTGGATATCTTGTTGCGGATTTCTAATTTAATTCAGTTCTAGGCTGTACTCTGTAAGATTTTCCCTTTTGAAATATTTTGAGCGTCATTTTATGCCCCAGCCCCCAGCGTATGATGTGCATGGGGAATTCTTTTATGTGCTTTGGAAAGAATGCATGTTCTTCAGTTGTCTGCTATGGTGTTTTCTGTAAATTAATTAGTTCATGGTTGCTCAGGTCTTCTATTATTCTTCCTAATATTTTTGTCTACCTGTTTCAAACACTGAGAGAGGGGTATTAACATTTTCAACTATAATTGTGGTTTTATTTATTTCTCCATTTAGCTTTGCTAATTTTCCTTTTAGTGTTTTAAATCTATGATATTAATTCCATGCACATTTAGGATTATGTATTCCGGATTAATTGGCTGTTTTATCATTATGAGATGTCTCTCTGTCCTGACGTTGGCTTTGTCTAATATGAAGATAGATACATCATTTCTTATTCTTATGATTACATCATACATTTAGTACTATCCTTTTATTCCAATTCACCTATATTTTTTAAAAACCTTTCCTTAAAGTTAGTGTGATTAATCCATTTGACATTTAATGTAATTATCAATGTTTTTGTTTAAGCCTACCATCTTATTATTTTTTAGTTTGTCCTTCCTATTGCTCCTTTGCAGCTTTTTTTTTGCATTAATTGAATGCTTTTTATTATTTCATTTTATTTTTATATAGACATTTTAGTTTGTCTTTAACTTTTTTTCAGTGGCTATGTCAAGTCTAACAATTGTTTCTTTAACTTACAAGAATCTGCTTAGAGTTAATACGGAACCACTTGGCAGTTTGCAACTGACATTTGCCAATTTCTTCACAATCCATGTTTCCCCTTTCCCATTTCACTCTTACTACTTCACAAATGTAAGAAATTAACAATACAGTTGCCTGCATTTTCCTCCATATTTCTATATTTTTGTCATATGTCTATACAATATATAATACAAAATCCCTCTTAATATATCATATGTTTTAAACAATTATATTTATGCAAATTTATAAAAGAAAAGAAAAAAATAATCTTTCATATTTACCCACATACTTACCTTTTCCAATGTTCTCTACTCTTTCCTGTTGATCCTAGTTTTCATCTGGTATAAATTCTCTTTATGCTGATGAACATCCTTTAGGATTTCTCATTGTGCAGATTGGCTAGTTACAAATTCCGTCAATTTTCTTTTATCTGAAAACGCCTTTATTTTACTTCAATTGAAGGATACTTAAGAAGCTAAAATCTAATTTGATCTTTTCTTCTATTCCTTTCAATGGTTGAAAGCTGTGTTCCATTACCTTCTTTATCTCTTTAGATCTGATGTGAAATGCATCTCTATTCCTGATTTTTCCCCTGTATTCCATCTTTTTTTTTTATTTTCCTCTGGTTGATTTCAAAATTTTCTCTCTTTTTTTTTTATATTGTCCATGATGTTTCCAAGTGTGATTCTTTTTTTTTTTTTTTTTTGGTCTAGGGTTCACTAAAATTCTTCTTGTTGGTTTTTTTTTTTGAGGAAGATTAACCCCAAGTTAACATCTGCTGCCAATCCTCCTCTTT